GCAGCTGTAGGGACTCTTTGCTCTCAAAACAGCTGCCCCATACTGCTGAGCTGAAGGCACAGCTGTGTCCCCCCAGCCCAGTTGGCATCCAGGGAAACAGAGGCACAGAGAGGTCAGAGCCATCAAGAGGAGCAATAGGATTCAAACCCAGGACCTCCAGGTGGTCTGTAGGTGGTGAGGGGGCTGGAAGTGCTCAAGCCTCAGCTTGGCTAAGCAAGGAAGGAGTGTACGGGGTCCTTGTGGAAGTAAACATCCGCCTCCTCAGGCCCCTGCTCCTTGGAGTCAGTCAAGTTTGAGACCTGCTGTGATTAGGGCCCTGGGTGCTGGAGCACAAGGGTGGAGAGAGAAAGGCATAGTGTTTGCCCTTCGAGATAAGAGGAAGCAGGGCAACAGGGAGAGGGGTGGGTAGGTGGGTTAGGAGGCCTCTGTCCACCCAAACAATAAGAAGTTGCTGCCTAGAGAGAGAGGAAGGGAGAGGCACAGAGAGGGAAACATCGATGAGAGAGAAACATCCATCAGCTGCCTTCTGCATACTCCCTACTGGGGATCGGACCTGCAACCAGGGCATGTGCCCTGATGGGGAATCTAACCAGGGACCTCTTGGTTCATGGATTGATGCTCAACCACTGACCCACACCAGCCAGGCCAGAATATCATATTTTAAACTATATTTTTTAAAATAGATTTTTAGAGAGAGAGAGAAATAGAAACATCCATGAGAGAGAAACATCAACACCTATTGGCTGCCTTCTGCATTCCTCCCTGCTGGGGATCGAGCCCACAACCCAGGCATGTGCCCTGAACCGGAATCGAACCCTGTGACCTCGTGGTGCATGGGATGCTGCTCAACCACTGAGCCGCACTGGCCGAGCACTGACAGAATATCTTAAATGAAGCTTGCTTTGATTATTCTGTAATATTAGGGCTCATGTTTTGGCTTTTCTTTTACATTTTAAAATGCTATGACATTGATGTATTGCCTGAAAAAGTTAGAAGAGAATGTCAGATTCTGTACTAAAGGTATCAGTTTGGAAATATAGTCTTTCCCTATTTTATAAAAACCAGCAAAAGTGTAAACTACAAAAGAAGTGATTCAAAAAAGTCTTTTAATAAAAGTTTAAAGTCTTAAAAAAAAAAGAAGTTGCTGCCAGGCCAGGTTCTGGGGGACAAGCATCTTAGGTAGCAGGAATAGTCCATACAAAGGCCCTGAGGCCATACTGGGCTCCAGGAGCTGGACAGGGTTTCTTGGCCTTTGTCCCTGAACCAATCTCATTCCTTCCCAGGAAGAAGATAAGATACTTGAGTTCCCAGTGTCTGGCCTCATCTGCCCTAGGTGGCTACCCAAACTCAGTCCCTGGTTGCCAGGACAGGACACAGAGCAAGGGACCCCCTTCAGTAGAGCTAGCCCCTAGCCTTTCCCTGACTGTGTGGAGCTTAGCCGGGGAGAGGTGCAGAGAAGGCCTCCCCAGGCAGGGCCATCAGTGGGGAGAGAGGAGGCCTGCCCTCTCAGGGCAGGGAAGCAGCACCAGCCATGGGACTTCAGCAGCCCCTTACCAGGCCCCTGGTGCCTGGGAGCCCTGGTTTCCAACTGCCAGCACCAAGAGCTACTTTCCATTCCTGCCCTGCACCCACCTGTTGGTAGCCTTCTATCTGGGCCCTGCCAGAATGAAACTAGAGGCTGGGCTGGGCTGCTGGGCAGGGCCCTCTCCCATTACTGATGGACACCAGATAGTGTTGGGTGGTTGGGAAGACCCAGGGCTGCTCCACAGCTGAGCTGGACCTATGGGGGCATATCCAGCCAGCCCAGGACCTCTGAGCCTCTCTGCCTGCCAGGTTGGCTGTGGAATCAGTCACCCAATGGGATGGGTGGGAGTCCCCTCCCCCCCTCCCCCCTCCCCCTTGCACATTCAAAAATAGTAGGAGGTACAGCAGGACAGATGGTGACAAGTGCTAAGAAGAAGACTTGGGGGGGGGGTCAGGGAGGTACACTGAGCAAGTGACATTTGTAGGTGAACCCTTAAGTTAGAGGAGGAGGTGCCCTGCTATTACCTAGGGGAACAACATTCTGGGCAGAGGGAACAGCCAGTGCAAAGGCCCTGAGGCAGAAGTGTGCCTGAGGTATTAGAGGACCAGGGAGGAGCCCAGCGTGGCTGTAATGGAGGGAGCAAGGTGGAGAGGAGGGCAAGAGGGCAGGTGGTGAGTCACAGGAGTTGGGCTTTTACTTGGAGGAATGGAAACCATGAGGACTGTGAGCAGAGAAGCTTCCTGCTGACCTCTGTGCGGGGTAAGGAGAAAGTCAGGGTGTCAGACAGGAGGCACGAGATGGCCCAGGACCACATGAGACTGTGCAGGTGTAGAGAAGTAGCTGGATTCAAGAACATCTGAAGGTGGGGCCACAGAATGTGCTGCAGGACTGGTCGGGGGAATAAGGTGAAGAAATGAGGGCCCTTTGATGCCTACCTGTTTTCACCTGTATACCTGAAGGTCAGATCAGGCTGGTGGCTGCATGGGACCTAGCCTAGCTCCTGCAGAGCCCACACTGATGCCTGCACTCTGCACCTCAAAGGCTAGGGGTTAACATCCCGGGTGGGGGTAAAGGAGGGCACAGGTGGGTGGGAGTCCTGGGGACTGGGATGGGTGCTCTCAGTGCCCTCAGTGAGGCTGGTGGGGGCTTCAGGCAAAGGGTCCATCAGTGGATAGTGGACGGTTACCTGGGGTGGTCCCAATACAGCCTGGTCTTGATCCAGCCTCTGAGTACCTGCCCCCCAAGTGGTGACAAGTGCTCGGTGCGCTCGGCTGGACCGTGCTGCGCACCCACTCCCTTGGCCTCCCCACAGCCTGTGTTAATCTGCTGCAGGGGAGTCCTGCCAGGTCTTCAGGGTCATGGAAGCCCATCAGGTGGCCTTCAGACATGGCCTAACCTCTCAGGCCCCTGGCCACTCCTCCAGGGGACCCCGATGCCTGCAATCTACCTCACTTGAAACCCCTGAATCCTGGGCAGGTGCGGAGGAGCAAGCCTGAGCCCACACTCAGGTCCCTAGTCCAGGAACCCTGGGTTGGAGGGCAGAGTCTTCATCAGGTGTTTCTTCACCCTCGAGTGGTCAGTGTCCTCGGGAATGAGAACAGAGGCCTTCATTTGCAGTAAACCTACTGGCTGTAGTGAGGCGCTGGATGCACCGGTCCATGTGCTTGGCTTCAGGGAATGGCGCGGTCTGAGGGTGGAGGGCTGGGGAGGAAAGGTGCCTGCTTGCTTGGTGGCCTCCTTGCCCCTTTGTCTAGGGCACTCCATAAGGGAGGCGGGGGGGCAGGAGGG